TTTACAAAATTTAATTTAATAATAATATTATTAAAACTTTAACTTTAAATTATTAATAATATTTAAGCTTTATAGATATTTTAAATAATTATTTATTATCAAAAAATAAATATAGTGTTTTCTCTTTACCCGAATCTAAGGTCTCGAGTACCTTTTCTTTATAGACGGGTACGAGTCGGATAACGGATCGAATACGGGTAACGGGTATAAGTGTCAAGCCCTAAATGTTATATACAAAAATACAAAAAAAACAAAACCCCATACATATATTTGAAAAAGTATAAAATTACAAATTTAAGCTTTAAATTTTACTATAAGATATATTTCTAAAACTTTAGTAATATTATAAAACACTACTAAAACGGGTAATTAAGTGTCGGGTAGTAAAGAGAAAAACATATCGGTAACGGAACAGATATTAAATAAATTAGTAATATCCTATACTCGACCCTTACCCACGGGTAATTGAATACAATACTCTTTACCCGACCCTAAGGTCACATATACCTTTTTTCGAAACAGGCACGAGTCAGATAACAGATCGATTACGGGTAACGGGTATCAGTGCCTAGCCCTAATTATTGTATACAAATATACAAACACAATTAAAACCTTGCACATATATTTCCAAAAAGTAAAAAGTTACAAACTTAAGCTTTAAATTTTACTATGAGATATATTTATAAAATTTTAGTAATATTATAAAATTCTAATAAAATGGGTATTTACAGGTCGGATAGTAAAGCAGAAAACGGATCTGTAACGGGACGAGAATTAAAAAATATATTAATATCTGTTATTTGATCCTTACCCACGGGAGTAATAGAATTATGATACCTTTTACCTGACCTTAATGTCACGAGTACTTTCTTTTTAAAACGGTTACGAGTCGAGTAGCGGATAAAATATGGATATATAAATATACAAATACAAACAAAACCACGCACGTATGGTATTTATAGGTTCTTGGACCTCTATATTTTTAAATGTCTAATAAGAAAGGTACTAAATTAGAAATACTTAAATTATATATAGCATATTACATGTTTAAGATATATTCTCACACTAATTTATAATTATCTATTGCATATAATACATTCTTTTTTTACCAAACCTAACACCTCCAAAATCCAACTATTTTTTACTATATACCCAACACATATGTCTTTTAAATACAACTTAGATTGGTTTATAATACCCAGTTATTCAATTATATCATCTCTCAAATTTAATCACATTTACAAAGTCATATTAAACTTTGTTTTCCAAACAAACATAGACAACCTAAAGACATGAATTTTTTTACTCAGAATTTAGTATGTTATCATAACCCCATACGTATTTTAAATTACCATAATTCATTGTAATTTTGGATAATAAACTTTAAATGATTTAATAGATATTTATGGAGTACTCATTTATTTTTCACAAATTAAAATTGAGGATGGTGTTGAGGTTCTTACTTTCACTCTACTTGATGCAAAGTAAGTTATAAATTTTTGTAAAATGCTATACAATTAAAATAAGGTAATTGTCTAATTCATTTGTAGTTTCTTTCACCATTACAAAATTAATTGTAGGAACGAAAAATTGTGTTGTCGTTTGATTGGAGAGGATGCTAATTATATTAGACGAATGTGGATAGAGAAAAGTTATAATAACAAGATTAAAAAAATCCGGTATTCACTATTTTGAGTTTTTGGGAGATAATTGAACATGAAGGTACCTACGTATTCATTTGGTATTTTTTATAGGTACTTACTAATTCATTTGGTATTTTTGATAACACTCTTAAACATATAAACAACATATTGTTTAAATATTTTTATAGGTTTATGTGGGTGATTAAATGTTTCTCTCATTTTCACACTAAACTGTTTCAATAATATTGGCTAACTCAAAAAAATATTTAAAAAAAAAATTCAATCGGTCCAACTAAAATTAGCTATTTAGAGTTTATTGAATCTTTATAATTTATACATGTCCAATAAGAAAGGTACTAAATTGAAAAATACTTAAATTATGTATAGCATATTACATGTTTAAAATAGATTGTCACATTAATTTATAATTATCAAGCTTAACTATTACATATAATACACTTTACCTTTATTTTTTTACCCTCCAAACTCCAACTATCTTTTAATACATACAATACAAACATACATCTTTTAAATACATGCTACCTATGTTTACCATACCATATTTTTCAATAATACCATCTCTCAAATATAATAACAATTACATAGTCATGTCAAGTTTGTTTCCCACACAAACACAGACAACCTAAAGACATGAATTTTTCAACTCATAAAATTTTTATATTAACAGGACGTACGTCCGGGTCCGATCCTAGTTCTATTTAGATTGAGTGCATACTTTAAAAATCATTTACTTTACATATATTTTTCTAAAATCCATGGCTAGAAGGATTGCACCACTCTTATTGGTGGGTGTTACTGCTGCAAGTGTCCAAAGGATTTTTTTTCTTTTGCAATGAACCTTGTGAAGAAAGCAACTCGCAACCGCATTGAAAACCGATTTCTAAGTCACGAAAATCAAAAGGCGTTCGATTTATGGATCATTTCATTTCGAGAATATTTGTGGTGGAAATGACTTGGTTATGGTTGTGGTTGCAGCGGTATTGGTGATTGTGCTAGTAGGACTAAGATCAAGCTTAAAACCATGACTAAGCTCATTACCACTATCATTGAGGCTGCCATTATCAACATCAACGAGCTATTCATCTTGTAACTCTCTCTCTGGGGTAGTGTATGTGCACAACATAAAAGGAAGAGAAGAGTGGTTAGTTGTAAGAAATGCGAGTGAGGATTGGCTAGGAGGAGCATGAAGTTCTCTGTTTTACGAGCTTGAAGGAGATAAGGAATCTCAAAGCTTATTAGGAGGATTAGCATCTGTGTTGCATAGGCCAAGAAGCTTAAAGCTTATTAGGAGGATTAGCATCTGTGTTGCATAGGCCAAGAAGCTTAAAGCTTATTAGGAGGATTAGCATCTGTGTTGCATAGGCCAAGAAGCTTAAAGCTTATTAGGAGGATTAGCATCTGTGTTGCATAGGCCAAGAAGCTTAAAGCTTATTAGGAGGATTAGCATCTGTGTTGCATAGTCCAAGAAGCTTAAAGCTTATTAGGAGGATTAGCACCTGTGTTGCATAGGCCAATAATCTCAAAGCTTATTAGGAGTCGTCATCTGTTTCATAAACAAAGCATCCTTTCAAAAGAAAGACAGATTCGTGTTTTCTTTTACAGTTATATAACATTCTCTCCTCCTGCACATAAAACAAAACTAACTGATTTCACATTCTGTTTTCAGTTTTCTAGTGTTTCAAAATCGCAAATGGGGTGTGCCACAACGGGAGGACAAAATAACGACACACAAACCTCACTGCCTGAGAATGAGATCTAGCCTTCTGGTGTAATGTCGGTGCAAGAGCCTTATATTCCAGATTCAAACATCTGTATCCAATGTTAGAAACTAGGCACGAGCTATATCATCGCCAAACCTTTGATCTATGTCCACAACTATATTTTTGGTTTTAGTATTTATTTAAGTAGTTATACATTAACATTACTAATACAAAAATATTATAATGTTTATTATTTATTCTTTTTAACATAAATGTTCTTATTTATTTATATTTGTAGTATCATTTACGTTATTTAAAATTTTGTTTTAATAAGAAAAAAAAGTTTATTGGATAAAATATATTACAAATATGATGTGTCATTATCTCTTACTTGTTTTATACTATTAAAAAAATTTGCTATTAGTAAAACAATTATAATATTTTGACAATAACCCCATTCATCCTAAAAAGTCCATCAGGGCATCTCTTATATAAAAATGGTTCATCTCAACACAATGAGAAACCTCGCCATCAAGTTTCAGCTACATATGCAGAAAACGTTGCTATAAAGAGGTCATGTCATAACTGTTTTCTCACTTTCTTTCCGTATTTGATCATCCAAGTTTGTCTTATGGTGTCAACCGCGTTTCTCTCTTTCTCTTTTGTTTTTATACATGGAGATCAACCCTCTTTGTTACCTAAATTGTGACGTCAATTGTTCATAATGCAAGGAAACTGATCTCATAAATTAAATTTATTATCTTTCTTACGTCTTGCTAATTCATGTTTTTGATTGAAATTGGTAGTCTAAGAAAAACAACTTTTTCCATAATTTTAACATAAGCTTTCATACCTTTTTTCTGGTTAGATACCATCCAACTGCAGAAATATACAACCTAAGTTTCAAAAAAGAACCACGCAATAAGTTACCTCATTAGCCATAGACATCTTTCACAATATTGGCTTAGACACTTTTCCCAAGAGAGCTTCCTTTCACGGTCTTACATGTATGTTCCTCAACTCTCACCGAAACCACCACTTTCCTAGATTTATTGTTGTATGGGGACTAACTTTAACGACTTTCTCAATTTGGTATACGCAAATTTACTATTTTGTCCTTCGTCTATCTTCACTGTATTGGTTAGTGTACCTCTTCTAAATATAAGATTCTATACAGAAGTATACTCATAAGCTTATCTATACTTTATCTTTAACAATTCATATTTTCCACATTCATTTCAATATATATATATGAATTTCCGTCTTTACAATTTTTTCCAGAGAGCTATCACTCTTTCTATCTTTTTCCAAGAACTCATTTCCTTTGTTTCATTCTCTATTCCATTAGCACATCTACCATTCACAATCTTAGCCGGACTCTTTCGGTTCTACTCTCACCAATACAATAAAAACTACTCTCCGTCTCAAATAACAAACAATCTAACAAACAAAAGCATAATATATTAGGTGGTGCAGACACACAAGTAATAAAGTTTTTGATCTCTACGGGATATAGCATCTCGGAAGGAGGAAAGTTAGATCCATTAGATGTGTGTGACGCCCGATTTCTACTTCAATAAAAAGGCATGTCACGAGCTAACTTGTAACTCAAGTAATTCATACTTATCCTAAAATAATCAACGTTCTCCATTAATTCAAATTAAACGTCCTTCAATCCATAAAATGAAATTATGTTCCAGATTATGCAATAAAATAAAATAATAAATGCAAACTCCGAAAACCAACACCAACTGACAACTCCGGTCACTACTCCGCATCATTACCTGCAAGAGAAAGAGAGGGATGAGCAATCTAAGATTACTCAGCGAAGGCAAGCCTTAGGGCTCACGAATTCTCCATATATAAACATATCTAGAATCACAAAGTCTAAACCTAAGACCGATCCTACACGGATATATATATTTCTAAGCAAAAGTTCTGAGAACTCGTTCTACACGGATCCTACAAAGTCTAAACCTAAGAACTTCACGGTCATATTTCCCTGGCGAAGTTCTGAGAACTCGTTCTCCATCCGGTACATGGCCTCCTTAGGAAAATACTTTCTCGAAAATACTGTCTTGAAATCCTCCCAGGTCAAGTCATATCGTCCACGCACCTGAGATACAACCTTATCCCACCATACCTAACTCCTTACGGTACTCTTGCGGACACCGAACACTGTCAAGATTCCTTTCCAATTTTTTTCTCCAGTTATAAGCAGAAACGGGATCAGATTTACCATCAAAGAACTTCATACTCACGTCCTTGAGATATCTGATAGCATCCAAGTACGTCGTTCCTAGCCCATGGACATGCATAGGATGAGTCTGCATAGGATATGGCGGTGGCGGTGGCGGTGGCTGGTGTTGAGGTGGTGCTACCATTTCAGGTCCGTCCCGATGTGGAGCATTCACCTCTGGTGCTTCTCTCATAGAAGGAGCCCTCCGCATGAATTGCTGGAACCTACGGAATTCCTCAAACATAGCCATTTCATTAGCCGCAGGGCCATTCACTTGTGGTTGTCCCGCCGGAGCCACAACTTCCGGATTCTCAACATGGACACTCTCATTAGAGGCCTCTGACCTCGCGGCCCTCCCTCTTGACTGTGCAGCAGCCCTTGCTCCTCTTCCACGTTTTGGCGGCATCTGAACACAGAAAAGCAAGTGAATCAGTTTCTTTCCTCATGACTGCCTTCCGGGACAGAACCGGTTTGACATAACCTAGACGCTCTGATACCAAAATTGTGACGCCCGATTTCTACTTCAATAAAAAGGCATGTCACGAGCTAACTTGTAACTCAAGTAATTCATACTTAACCGAAAATAACCAATATTCTCCATTAATTCAAATTGAACGTCCTTCAATCCAAAAAATGAAATAATGTTCCAGATTATCCAATAAAATAAAATAATAAACACAAACACCAAAAACCAACACCAACTGATAACTCCGGCCACTACTCCGCATCATTACCTGCAAGAGAAAGAGAGGGATGAGCAATCTAAGATTACTCAGCGAAGGCAAGCCTAAGGGCTCACAAATTCTCCATATATAAACATATCTAGAATCACAAAGTCTAAACTGTGGATGTAGGATTCACACTCGATTGTCTTTAAGTATTTTTGTGGACAAAAACTCTAAAATCGACAAATGAAAATAAGAATTCGAAAAGGAAAGTAACCAAGAAACTAAATAAAGCGAAAGAAATTGGTAAGAATAAAATAGTAACAAGCCTTGCGAAATTATGAAAAGAAAAGTATGTTGTATTGCTAGATAATAGGAGGTAAAAAGATTGTTCTTCCCAAACACATGCGTTTGAGGTTGTTTATATAGAGAAAAACATGATTAATGCGGCTATTTACTACTCGTAATCATATTGATCCGCATTAATCACATAAGTTACATTTTGACCGAAACGGCTTGAATTTGAATCTTGTCTTGGGCTTCGCGTGGGCCTTCCGAACTCTTTCTTGCTGACTCCGAACTCCCGTGCCTTGATGCTACCGCGAGCCTTGAACAATATTCTCCTCGCTTCGGTCTTTCTCTATGCGAACTGTATGTTGAATAAGAGCGAACTCCGTACTGGTAAAGATCGAACTCCTTTAATAAACTAAATCGAACTCCCAACCGGTCAAGTTCAATAATGTATCTAGAAATCCAGGAGAATTATTGTGTAATAATGACGTGGACAGATCCAAGTGGATCCTACCGAAAGTGTGTGGGATCCGACCCCAACATTTAGCCCCCCAAGTCTTGCGAGCTGAGTGCTCGGCTTGGAAGACTTAAGTAAGTAGTAATTAATGACTCGAGATCTTTAACATTCTGGAATTTCTCCATGTTTTACGCTGTTACGCCGATCTCGGATAATCAGATGATTTGATTTCCCTGACAATCGTCATCATTAATTTCCTAATTTTATATTAATACTACGGGAAAAACTGTCCCACTTCCCAATACTTTCGAGGCGGTTTCCCATCATACTTTAGGGTTCTAAGAGGTAGAATTTCTTTTCCATCTTATCTTCTTTACTTAGAGAACTTTCATTCTTATTACAGAAGTCATTGTTTCTTTTCGGTAAAAAATCCCTTTTGTAAAATGTCGAACCTTTCTTTCGAATTTTGCGAGTATGAAGTTGATGACCTCGAAACTCTCATGGGTGATGGACCCGAACCTCAAATCCATACTGGAGACGAGTTTGATCTTCACCCTCAGAGTGAATCAACTGTCGATTCTCTCGACGATCTTCGCAGACTATGTCACATCCGTCCTGAGGTTGAGATGATAGTTCCGGAGCCCATCGAGTCTCCTGAATCGGGGCGAGAAGGTTATTGTTGTGCCTATGAAATTTATTTCAAAGGATGCGGCTTATTCTTTCCCCTTCCCGAGATACTTCTCACCTACCTCAACCATCTGGGAATTGCCTTCTCTCAGATGTCGCCCAACATGCTCCGGTATCTTTTGTGTACCTTTACTGTTGCGGCGGAGGCTGGCTACTCGCTGGGACTTTGCGAACTCTTGGAGCTTTTCCAGGCTCGCGAGTCCCGAACTTCTGGGTATTATGCCCTTTATCCGATCGCGGATCGGAGTCTTATTGACAGCCTGCCCTTAAAGGACAATGCCTGGAGGAAGTTTTGGTTCTTCTTCCGCATAAATAGCTTTACTACTCAAAGTTCTTCTGATCTCCTTCGGGTCAACTGGTCATTGAATTTGGGTAGAAACTAGGACTTAATCGAATAGATTTCTTATGCTATTTCAAACTGCGTTTCAACATTTCGATATTTTCTTGCAGGTCCCCAAATTCGACCGGCCCCATCCATCGACTTTCTCAATTTCTACAAGGCCGTCTTGGAGAGGCCAGTTAATTGGAATTCCTTTACTTAGGAAAGGATTCACGGTGCCGGATTTTCTGTTAGAATGGGCCTTACTAACCCCGTCAACCCTCCTCCTGCTGGGATTGATCTCTCGAGTCTGAATGCTCGAGACAGGAGAAAGTTCAAAGAAGCAAACAAGAAGATCAAAGATCAGATTTCTCTAGTTGGGAGAGACAAGAAAAACGCAACTTCCACCGGAGACGATAAGGTCTACCGGAAAACTCTCCTGGTTGACGATGGATCCCTTGAAGGTTCAAAGTCAATGGCGGTTGCTGTGAGCAATGCTTCTCCCTCCATCCCAGCAGCAGACAACGTGGTTGCTGCTACCGTTGAGGAGGAAGGCCTTGCAAGTGACTCTTCTCTCATGAAGAAAAGGAAGGCCGAAGAACTTGAACCCCTGCCCCAGGGACGTCCCAAGAGCACAAGGAAGGGCAGAGTCGCTTCTTCGAATCCGCCAATTCCTGAGCCTGCTGAAGCTCAGGATGCAAATCCTGACTCAGGAACTGTTTCGAAGGAACCGCTGAGTTCAGGGATGCTACCCCCCAGACGCCCCCGAGGCAATACTTCTAGGGTTCGATCATCTCCGAGCTCTGGACTGGTTGCCAGAGCTTCGTCTCAAGCAGGTAACCTTTAACTGTCATTTTGTTGTTTGAGATTAATAGATTCTTTTTCCAAAGAAAACTCAATTCTCACACAACTAACTTTATTCCAGATAAAGAGAAGATCGGGAATATGTTCAGGTGCTTCCACACTCGTGCTGGGAAAAAACTTCCATCCTTTGATTGGTGGAAACCTGATGCTAAGAGGATGTACATCAGTCACTCATTCCATTCTTCCCAGGTTTGACCACTTGCATCCTTAGATAAGTGATTTCGATTTATTCATTTTTTTTATTTTTTTAAAAACGAATCTTCTTTTGTTAGGCAACTCTGGACGTGAATGGCATCGTCAACTTTTACGAAGAAGAACTTGCCAAAGTTTCCAAGAAAGTTGTCGTCGCTGAAGGAGAGATCGAGAAACTGCAATCTTCCAATCGGCTCGTGCAGGAGACTGCTGGCCTCGACTTGGTTCGCCGGGAGGAAATCGAGAAACTCGAAAGATCCGGCGAGGAGACAAGGAAGACCTTAATTGAGACAGAGCAAAAACTAGAGACTGCCCTTGCTGATCATAACTTCGCTAAAGGCGAGATTGAGCTTCTGAGATCGGAGCTTAACAAGGTTAAAACAGCTGCTGAAGAGCTCGAACGTAAGAATGAGTCTCTTTCCGTACTGAAAGATCGTGATGTTCGTAAAATATCTCATGACGCTCGGAAGGAGGTTAAAGGAGCTGGGCAAAAGTTCCTTCTCGCTGTGCAGGAATTTATCGCTGCAGACAAAGCTTGGAACAAGCTTAACTCCGAACGCGATGAAATGAAAAGCAACCTCGATTTGATCAAAGAGATAGAGGATGGAAAAGTTTCAACCTCGAGTCAACTACAATGAACCAGTTCATACATGGGAAAGTTTCAAGTTAGAAATCTATGAGGAGTTTGTGAAGAAAGCTGCAGCTCAAGATCAACACCATAAGCCAAGCAAAACGTTTGCACCTATTCTAGAGGAGAAAACAGAGGCTACACTACCAGCTCAAGCGGAGACTGAACCACATGGTAAGGTCATACAAGGTCTAGAGAATGCACCAGCCCTAGTCACGGAACAAGAGACAACTCCACAAACCGAGATATCTAAACTGCATCAAGCTAAGGTAAGTATTCCTTTAACCCCTAACGTTTTTGATGATTCAAAACCTGTGATATTGGTCTTATTAAAGCTAGAAAATGCTGAGAAAATATTAGGTAAAATTAAGGAACATACAGATCAAAATTTCTGTTTTGAGCAACACGTAAAAGATAAACAAGAAGTTGATTCACATAAAACAGATGGAATGGTCCAAACTGAAACGTGTTATTATGTTTTTAGTGATTATATGACTGCCATAACACACTTGTGTCTTGCCCAAAACGTTGAGGAACTTGCAGGTAACAAGAAGGATTACATTGAGCATAAAGGCGATTCAACGAAAATATTGGAATTCATGGACCAAAACAAAAATCGTGAAGAGTACGCGCCTTTACTTATCAAACTAGCTGCCAATGGGGATGAGAATGTCAATGAAACCATTCAGATCAAGGAGAAGCCACCCGATGAAAAACCACTTGAACCGATCCGAGGTAAGATTCTACACCCTCATATACTTCCATGGACTAACTTGACTTATCTATGTGTAGGAGATCAAGTTTTGAGGAGAGAATTGCTAGGACTGAGAGGAAAATCCGACGTTTGGAGTCGGACGTTCATAACTGGGAGAGGAGGGGATTTGACTCTATCGCTCGCATTCCCAGCTGTCTTCGAGAACACATCAGGTTTCTGAAGAAGCACTGGGACATCTACCAAAGGAGCCTCGAGCCCGCCGAGCGTGAGAACGGTTCGTCATCCGACGAAGTCCCTTCTACGAACCCTCCTCCTTCTTAGTTATTATTTATATATATATTTTTTTTTATTTTGTAATATTCTATCGGGCTAGTTGCCCAACGATATTAATTGCGTTCCCTATTTCGCTTTAAATTCGCCGATTATTCAAATCTCATTTAATGCGTTTAATCTAGGGAATATAATTAGCAATTAACCCGATTACATTTTCCACGAAAGTAGTAATTTCAGATTCGGGAAATCGTCAATTAATCCTCTTAAATGTAATCGAATAAATTTTTGAGTATAAAGTGGGTGTAGTTTGCCATTGAATTTCAACAACGATTCTACAAAAATGTTTGAGGAAGGAAATTCTTCAGAGAAACCTTCTGATTCATTCAAATTGATAAGTGACGATCTTCCGGGAGCACCAGACATCGAGCTTACAAAAACTGGAAAAGCTGGCGAACCGGAAGGGTCACGAATGTTGAGGAAGGGAACTAGCGTTCAGGTTCCAATCGTTTTAATCGAGAGACTGTCAGCCCAAGATCGTGTCAAGGCCGAGGAGTTTATCAACAAGGTATTTTCCATCCTAGTGATTTTACTCTTTTTGTTATTGCTAACTGTGTCATCTTATTTTCTTCAGCTTATCACTAGGCAAGACGAGCTCGAGGACGAGAAAAAGGAGATTAGGAAGAAGAGAAGGGAACTAGGGAAGCGTTGCCTTGACATTGCTCGCGAGCTTCATTGCCTCGAAGCCCATCCTTCCGATTGGATCGAACTTGGACTTCAAGAGTACGGAAACATGCCAGGTTGCATTATGAGCATCGTTGACCTCGCAGGTCAAGGAGAAGAGTTATTCCGTAATTCAAGACCCTTTTGAATCTGAGTTTAGCTAGAAATATTTATTTATACATTGTTTGCAATGTACTCTATATTCAAGCCCAAGATTAAGAATAAGATTCCATGATTTGAAATAATATTTTAATTTTTATATTATAGCTGGACTCGTATTTAGCGAGCTGCCTACGTACCCAAACTAGGATCAAGCCAAATCGTAGTTCGAATGTGTTTGCTTTAGCAATAGAACTTTTTCAAGTTGATTATGTTCCAAGGCCTTTGAACGGGGTTTCCGTCAAGGTCTTGTAAACGGTATACACCGTTCCGGATTTTTTCAGTGATTTGATAAGGGCCTTCCCAGTTAATACCGAGTTTTCCAGCGCCTTCTTCTTTTGTGTTATCGAACACTCGCCTTAAAACAAAGTCTCCTACATTTAAAGGTCTGTTTTTCAACTTTGAGTTATAGTATCGAGCGGTCAACTGTTGATAATTCTGAAGTCGAATAAGGGATTGGTCTCGCCTTTCATCGATTGTATCGAGGACATCTTCTAATAATTTAGAATTCGACTCCTCGTTAAGTGGAGCTTCGCTCCGGCGCAAACCTAGAACATTCAGCTCGGATGGGACTACGGCTTCCATCCCATAAACTAATGAGAATGGAGTTTCACCTGTTGCTCGCCTCGGGGTTGTTCGATAAGCCCACAACACAGGTTGCAGCTCGTCATACCATCCACCTTTTCGAGCGTTCAAGCGTTTTTTAAGATTGCTGAGAATGGTTTTGTTGGAAGCTTCTGCTTGTCCATTTCCTTGAGGATACCTCGGTGTTGAGTAGCTAAGTTTTATTTCCCAAGCGGAACAAAAATCTTCAAAGTCATTTGAAATGAATTGAGGACCATTGTCCGTTACTATTTCGTAGGGAACTCCATAGCGACAAATAATGTGTTTCCACAAAAATGTCTTTACTACGGAATCATGTATGCTTATATAAGCTTCAGCTTCAATCCATTTGGAAAAATAGTCCGTTAGAACTAATAAGTACTGGACGCCTCGTGTTGAACGATGCATCAGACCGACTATATCCATTGACCACCTCATGAAGGGGTATGGAGCGGATATAGATGATAGAATTTCAGATGGCTGGTGAATAAGGGGAGCGTGCATCTGACATTTTTTACACCGTTTGGCGTAATCGATGCAGTCTGAAATCATAGTTGGCCAGAAATATCCTAACCGCTTGATTTTGAAAGCCATTGCTCGTCCCGAGGAATGACTACCACAAAGCCCTTCGTGGACCTCGCTTGTCACTATTTCAACTTCGGGTCCGAATATACATAAAAGATACGGATCACTGACGCCTCGTTTGTATAATGATTCTTTAATTATACAATACTTAGCGCTGATGATTTTTAATTTGCGAGCTTGCCATTTGTTCGATGGTAGTTCTCCATTAAGAATGAAATTTTTGATGGGTACCCTCCAGTCAGCCCCCCAATCATTAGCGCAAGTATTATCTTTGAGTATAAACTTCCTTGGTTCGGGTTCGGAGGGAATATCAGGATCTTCGATTGTCTCCTGAACCTTCATATCCACTGGAAGTGACTGTTCGATTTGAGACGGTTCTTTAATGGGAACCTCTTGATCCTTTGATTTTCTTCTTGGCTTTCTTTTAGGAAGTTCCAGTGGTGGAGTAAGTTCGTCATCTTGAGACTTTATTCGTGATCTGGTGACGACAAGCAAACTACTTTCATTTCCGGAACTTGTTTTTGGAGTTTCGAAGTGTTCGGCCTCCAAACTGTTATCGTTTTCTGTTTCTTCAACTGAAATACTTCGCGAATAAATACATTCAACTGGGATTACTCGTTTGAGTTCAGGATCTGAGGTAGAAGCTAGGGCAGCCAAAGCGTCTGCCGAAGTGTTTTCTCCTCTAGGTATTCGAACTAATTCGAATTCTTTGAATTTTCCGGCTAACTTTTTGACAGCCGAAAGGTAAGCTTCCATTCGAGGAGCCTTAGCTTCGTAATCTCCAGCGAACTGGTTTACAACTAGCTGAGAATCGCAATAAGCTATTATTTTTTCTGCTCCAATTGCAAGAGCAAGCCGAAGTCCTGCTAAAAGAGCTTCGTATTCTGCTTCATTGTTCGAAGCTGGAAACATTAATCGAAATGATTGCTCGATTATTTCCTTTGTTGGAGTTTCGAGCCTAATACCGATTCCGGATCCTTGTTTAGAAGAAGAGCCATCTACATGTAATTTCCATGTGGAGTCCGTTTCAACAAAGATTCCGTCATCTAATGGTAGTTCGGTTAGAAAATCAGCTAGAACTTGTGCTTTTGCGCTAGTTCTGCTTTTGTATTCTATATCGTACTCACTAAGTTCGATTGCCCACTTTGCCAATCTTCCGGACTGACTTGGACCGTGAAGAATTGAGCGAAGTGGATGAGAAGTTAAAACTTCTATCGGATGAGATTGGAAATAAGGTCGGAGTTTTCTAGCAGATATGACTACTGCTAAAGCTAATTTTTCCATCATGGTATATCTCATTTCTAGACTAGTAAGAGATTTACTTATGTAAAAAATTGGCTTTTGTTCACCTCGGTCCTCTCGAACTAACACCCCACTCACGGAATGGTTAGAGACTGAAATGTAGAGATATAGTTTTTCATCTGATTCAGGTTTTGAGAGAATCGGTGGTGTCGTTAAATAAGTTTTGAGTTGACTAAATGCTGCTTCGCATTGATCATCCCACCGAAATTTTTTGTTCCCTTTCAAAATTTGATAAAAGGGGAGACATTTATCGGTAGATTTTGATATGAAACGATTTAATGCAGCAATTCTGCCTGTCAATCGTTGGACTTCCTTAATGTTTCTTGGCGAAGGCATAGTGAGGAAAGCGTTAATCTGATTAGGATTTGCTTCTATTCCTCGTTCCGTGACTATGTACCCCAGGAATTCTCCGGAAGGCACGCCAAAGGAACATTTAGCTGGATTTAATTTCATTCCAAACTCGTTCAGAATTTTGAAACACTGCTCGAGATGTGTGATGTGCTCGGATTTCTTAAGAGATTTTACGAGCATGTCATCTATATAAACTTCCATCGTTTTGCCCAAATGTTGTGCAAACATTTTGTTAACTAAACGTTGGTATGTTGCCCCGGCATTTTTTAAACCGAATGGCATAACTTTATAACAGTAGATTCCTCTATCTGTTATGAAGGATGTTTTCTCTTCATCTTCGGGATTCATCATGATCTGATTATATCCAGAAAATGCATCCATAAATGTTAAGAGTTCGTTTCCGGCCGTTGATTCTACGAGCCGATCGATATGAGGGAGAGGAAAGCTGTCTTTTGGACATGCTTTGTTAATGTC